CGACACTGATGTGCTGGAACGGACGGGAATCGTCAGCATCTACACCACGCTAAGACAAATGCAGCTGCGCTGGAGCGGCCACATGGTGCGCATGGACGACGAGCGACTACCCAAACGACTCTTCTACGGAGACGTCGCGACGGGTTCTCGCCGCTAAGGAGGCCAAATTCGTTGATACAAGGACACTCTGAAGTCCTCCCTGAAGCGCCTGCACATCAACCCGACCAACTGGGAAGAGCTCGCCCGCGATCGTCCGACATGGAGGAGAACAGTGAAGACGGGCGCTGCTATCTACGAAGCCAACCGCATCGCCGCCGCCAAAGTGAAACGCGAAGTCCGCAAATCCCAACTTCGCCCAATACGCAACGCCGCCGCAGAACCTCTCCCTACATGTCCTCGATGTTAACGGACATTCCGGGCACGAATCGGACTTGTCGGACATCTTCGAACCAACTGCACCTCTCAAACTGCTCCAGCCATCGTCCCCGCGCCCGCCTCTTCCTCGCCCTCTCTGCCGCCAACTAACTCTGACACACCTTCTGCACCACCTCTTCCATCCTCCTCCTTCTCCTCCACTGCCCCAGCGGTGGCCGTTCAGTCTGCCGTCTCACACATCGCCAACCACGACACAACATCCGCAACCACCCCCACCTGCCCTCACTGCGACCGCACCTTCACCTCACACAACGGCCTGGTCGGTCACTTGCGAATCCATCGCACAGAGACTGGTGAACCAGTGCCTGGAGCACCAACCTACACCCATCGCACTCGCCTCCACTGCCCCCAATGCCCTCGCACCTTCCGGCATCGCATGGGCCTATTCGGCCACATGCGCATCCACGAAAGCGGAATTGACCGCAGCCTTGACACACCCACCCCGCCGAGCCCCACTCCCAATCCATCGCCTTGTGCACCCACTAACCACTCCCCAGCCGACATCGACGCCACCGACCTTCCTCCTCCACTTCCTCCTTCACTGCCACAACGACGGCCACTCCGGCGTCTGTAGCGCACGACTTCACCACAGCCGCACCTGACACAACAACAGGGACAACCCCTGCAACCTCCATCAACAGATGTGAGGGCCCAGACTACATCTGCCCTCACTGCGATCGCACCTTCACTTCACGCATCGGACTGGTCGGTCAGAGACTGGCAAACCAGTGCCTGGAGCACCAACCTACACCCACCGCACTCGCCTCCACTGCCCACACTGCCCTCGCACCTTCACGCATCGCATGAGTCTATTCGGCCACATGCGCATCCACAACAGCGGCATTGACCGCAATTCCGATACAGCCACGACATCCAACACGCCCAGACCCATCCTCGCCCCACCGTCACACGCGCCGACCACCACCACCGCCACCACCGCCACCACTGCTTCCTCTACAGCTGACACCGACACCGCCGACCTCTCATGCCCACATTGTCCACGCACCTTCACCTCACGCATCGGCCTGGTCGGTCACTTGCGAATCCATCGCACAGAGACTGGCGAACCAGTGCCTGGAGCA